TAACCTCGGTGTTCCCACGTATAAAATGGGCATATTTACTGCCTACCTCATAGGATTGTCATGAGGATTTTTAACATCACAGAAAGCCCTCCATATGTATTTGTAAAATAAAATAAATATATCGGCATCCCTTTTTTGTCAACTTTTCTGTGTCATTATTTCATAGCTATTTCTCTAATAAACATCATACAACTGGTAGATACTGCAGTGCTGTAGTAGGTACATTTATTACATAAGTCATGTAACATATGTGTGAGTATATCTGCAGAATAACTCCTAGAAATGAGGTTGCTGATTGGAAAGATGCATATATTTGTAATTTTGCTAGATAGTGCCAAATTGCCTTACATAGGAGACACCTGGTACAAGCCCTTTGTAAGGCAATTTCGAACTATCTAGCGAAATTGATCTTTGCCAGTCTGTTAAGTGAAAAATGGTATTTTAGTGTAGATTTAATTTGCATTTCTATTATTTTAAGTGAGGCTGAGCATATTCGAATGCTCTTTATATTTCCTTTTCTCTGAGTATTCCCATACCCATTTTCAATTGGGGTGTTGGTCTTTTCTGTATCTCTTTGTACAGATTTTAAAGGAAAGTTGTCCTTGTTCTGTGATATAAGCTGGATTTTTTTTTTTTAATTCTAAGCACTTCCCTTCAGGAATCAAGAAAAATTGTGAGAAAGAAAATTCTGAATTACCTCAAAATACTTTCTGCCAAATAGGGTCATTGATTTTGTGCTCAACACATCTTTAATCTTTAAAACTTCACTGCCTGGTACCTACTATTACCTTCATTTTACAAATGAACAAACTGAAGATCAGAGAGATTCATTCAGTCATTCAACAAAAAGTTATTAAGCGCCTAGTATGTTCTTTACTTTGGGGATATAGTAGTGAGTAAAACAAAAAAGTCCTTGTTCTTATAGGCTTACATGGGGTGGGGGGTCGAATAGACAATAAAGAAGTAAAGAAGTGCTTCACAGACAGCCAACAGTATGGAGGGGTAGTAGAGGGTAAAGTTTTGGTTTTAGGTCCCTTTCCACTTTTAAAAACTGCGAATCCCAAATAGCTTTTTAGTTTATGTGTATTTGCAATCTGTTGCTGTATACAAGTCATCCCAAAATTTAATGACTTAAAACAACACTAATCATTTCTTTTTCTCTGGGTTTCTGTGGGCCTGGAATTTGGGAGCAGCTCGGCTAGGATTTTCTGGTTTGGGATCTCGTGAGGTTGCAGTCATCCGAAAGCTTGACTAGGGCTGAAGGATCTGCTTGCCAGATGGCTCAATCGTATGATTGGTAAGTTGGTGCTGCTGTTAGCGGGAAGCCTGTTTGTCTCCACGTGAGCTTCTCCCCAGGGGCTACTTGAGTGTCCTCATGACATGAATGCTGGCCTCCCCCACAGCAAGCGATCCAAGAAACAGCCTTTCATGACTCAGCCTCAGAAGTCACACATTGTTATTGGTCCATAACCGTATTTGATGTGGGCAGGAATGGAGAATCATTGCAGGCCAGCTTGGACTCTGGCTACCACAATGTGGGCATTCTTAAATTTATATTTATAAATATAAACATATTTTTATATGTATGTGTATTTATATAATAAAATTATATTTTGTGTTTACCATATTAGAAATTAAAACAAAATTTTAAACTATTAGTTTGTTCATTTAAAAATAAGCCCACTATGTGTTAACACAAATAATGCATTTTTAATGAAAATGTATTTTCCAAAACAAAAATAATTAGAAGAATGGCATTGTTTTACATTTCTGGAAATCTCTTTAATATCTGTTTTGACAAAAGAGTGTTGGATTCTCATTTTTGCTCTCTTTACTCCACTTTAACATTCATGAGAGCATGAGCAAAAATGGAAAGTAATGTCAGGATTATTATAAAAATAGTTTTGACCTTATGGAACCTTCTGAATGGGCTGAGCCACACTTTGAGAACCTTGAGCTAGATTATAATATGGTAACAAATGCAGCCAAAATCTGAGTAGCTTACAACAAGATTTATTTCTTGCTCGTGCTACAAATCCACTGTGGGTTGCCCATGGTTCTGTTCCATGTCATCTTCTCTAAGGAACTGAAATTTATAGGGCCGCCTCTTGCTAGGACACTGCCAGTCAGTGCGATGAGGGAAATGAACTTGGTAAACCATCCTGACTTTTAAAACTTATGCTTAGAAGTGATGTGCCTTTTTCTTTTTCTTTTCTTTTTTGTCTTTTTTCATTAGCCAAAGCAAGTCACAGGGTTAAGCTTTAGTTTGTCAGGGCTGGGATGTATACTTTTCTGCAGGGAGGGGCCCCACTGGAAATGATACCAAGTATATGTGATGTATATACCTCTACCATGATGTTTAAAGAACATACTGGTTGTGCATGAAGAGTGGATTATATTGGGGAGAGGTAGGAAGCTACTCAAGAGTAGACGTGGTGTTAGGAATTGACTCAGTACTTTGGACAAGGAATTATAGTGGCCTGGACTAGGGTGGTAGCAGGGGTGTAAAGATGTACTCTGAAGTTGGTAGAACTTATTTTTAGAGCGGGGTGGGGATAAGGGAAAGTACTGAAAAAAAAACGTTCTAGGTGTTGGGTTTGAACAACCCAGTGAATGATGTAACATTTACAGAGATGAGGAAGACTGGGAGAATAGGTGG